GATCCTGAGAATTAAGAGATCCTAGACGAAATTTTTTTTTTAATGGGTTTTCTAGGTATATTTTTAATTTGAATTTAAGAGACTAATTTTTAATATTAACAAACCAAAAGAATTTAGAGGCCTAAAACTCATGTCTCTTCGATTTATCCTTAGGGCCGGTCCTGCATACAAACGAAATATCGTAAACATATTCTAAAGCTACATTACATTGTTTTTTCTTCTATTTTACGTATGGTACCATATATCAAAATTTAAAAATGCGAATATTTCTAACCATTAGACCAACATAAATCAATTATTTTTTCTATTGTTAAACTATATTACTAATAATTTTCTATGTACCGTTTTGATTTGTAATAATGCGTTATATTAAAAGCAATACAAAAATAAATAATTTTCATAATAAAAAGACAGATAAGTAAAATTCATATTTTCCATAAATCTTGTACAAAATCTCAGAATAATTTAGCATATTATACTTTTTAAGGATTTTTTTTTTGCCGAATACTTTTTTAAGGACTTTTTAAAGGATTATGAGTGAAAGTTAACACAACTAGTATTTTTACTAGAATTGAAAGTTACTTTTTATGGAAAAAAATAATAAAATATCACTAATTTTTTTATCATTACGTCATCGGTGGAGGTGGGGTCGATCTAAAAACGCATCGTTTTAACATCTTTAGTCGCTCACGCCAAAAGCAAAGAGAAGAAAGAGCATTTTTTTTTCATCCCCAAAGCTCGGAGTCTCCTCCATTAATGGAACCACCCATCTCTCTCTCTCTGCTGATGTAGCTACCACGAGCTTAAGAAGCTTCTAGTTTCTCCCGCAATTTCCTCTAACGGAACCAAAATCGGCTCTTTTTAAAGTTCTCCTCTTTTCTCTTTCCTCCAAAGCTTTAAGCTTTCTCTCCAAGAAACACCACTCGAGCTTCTTCTCTCTGTTCATCAACACTTCTTCTTCACTGTTACTATAGCTCTGGTTTCCAGGTACAAAACCCAGAATTTGTTTCATTCAATTATTGCTTTTTTTGGGTTTGTTTACTTTGTATTTAACTAGATGTGCTTGTTTAAACTCTGGAGTTTGGAATTTTGTTCTTTCCTTGCGGTGAAGTTTGTCTCGTTTCGTAAATCCAGTTTCGAGATTAGAGCTTTTTTTTGCTTAATATTATAATCGTTTCTTCCTCGTGTAAGCTTTACTGATGAACATTTAATCTGCTGCATGCTGATTTCTTTTTTTTTTTTAAATTCAATCAAACCAGTAACAGATATAAATCGTCCGACAAAAATCTCAATTACAAAGAGATCGTGTCCGTACTAATCATCGAAGAAATGGAAAACCTTTCTGCATCTAGAGAAAAGGAGCTCTGTTTTCCAACAGAGGAAATGGATGGTTGGGTTGAGAATTTGATCTCTCATC